ACTTCCATCACCTAGGAAAGTTCTGTGTCCTTTGGAGTCAGTTATTCCAAAAGTAGCCATTGATTCAATTTTGTCATCATAGCTTTTTCAGAACTTGTTATAAATAAATGAAATGCTCTGGATATATGCTTTGATGCCTGGCATCTTTTGCTCAGATGCTTTCAAAGCTTGTGTTCTGTCAGTAGTTCTCAGTAGTTTTTGTTTGTTTGTTTGTTTTACCTTGAGTTACATTCCGTTGTATAAATCTATCACATTGTGTTCATTCATTAACCTATTGATAGTTTTTGTTTTAGACTATTAAAAGTATAACTTCTGTGAACATTTTTGTACAAGTGTGTTTATGGATATTGTTTTCATGCCTCTGGAAGAGAAGTAGCAGATCATTTGATCTGTGTATGTTTAACTTTAAAAGAAATGGGTTAAGCTGTCCCCTGCAATGTTGGCATTCCATATGAGTTGGATTCTAGGGTGCTCCACTTCCGATCCAGCTCCTTGATGATGCATTTGGAAAAACAACAGGATGGCTTGATTGCTTGAGTACTTCCGCTGGCTTGACTTGACTGAGGTCCAGCTGTTTGTGGCCATTTGGGGATGGAGAATTTCCTGCCTCTTTTTCACACACACATTCTTACACTCTCTATAATTCTGCCCTTCCACAAAATCTTTTAAAATTTTTTAAATTTGCTTTTAATTTAATTTTTCATTTTTTTGATACATTTCCCTTTTCCCCTTCCAAACTCCCTCCCCCGCCACTAATTTTTCCCCATATTTTAACAGTAGTATAGTCCTTCACAAGCAGTCGTAAATCCATCATTTTGTTATCTGTATGTATCCTGATATTGAGGATATGGACAATGGCAGACAGTCCAGCATCCTCCTATCAAGATATATTTAACAGCTTAATTGGGAGTCCATCTTTGATTTGGAGGTAGAGATGCTTACTGCATTATATCTTCATATTTGGATATGATAGTCTCTAATATACATTTACTATACATTCACTTAAATGAATAGCTATACAACAGAATCAGCAACAGGAACAAAGTTTAAAAATTTACAACATGAAGTGAAATAACATGCTTATAACATGCTACTGAAAGAACAATGCAAGATGAAGAAATGAAAAAGAAGATAAAAAACCATCCAGGAGAAAACAGTGCTACTGTATGACCTATGAGTCACTGAAGAGTTTAATGATAGAAACGAAACTATTTGAAGAAATGAAAATGAAAACAATAATGTCAAAAACCATGAGTTACAGCAAAAACAGTATTGAAAGGGCTATTGATCTTGTATTTTGCGTGATGGTTGTCTTCTATCAGAGGGAACATATGATATCTGTCTTTTGGGATTGACCTATTGCACTGAACATGATGGTCTGTAGTTGGGATCATTTGCTTGCAACTGGTAGAAAAATCAGTCTTTTTAATGGCTGTGTAGTATTCCATGGAGTAGATACACCACAGTTCATCCACTCCTCTTTTGACAGGCATCTGGGTTATACCACGTCTTTGCTGTTGTATATTGTGCTGCTGTGAATATAGGTTACAGATCCCTTTGTGATATGCAGATATCATTTCCTTTGGATGTATTCACAGCAGTGGGATAGCTGGGTTATGTGGCAAGTTTATTTTTAGTTCTCTTAGCATGCTCCATGTTGACTTCCACAGTGGTTGTACACAGTTGTATTATCCCACCAACAGTGAAGGAGGGTACTTTTCTCTCCACATCCACACCAGCATGTGGTATTAGTAGAGTTCTGAATGTATATTGGTCTCACTGAAGTTAGATGGAACCTCAGTGTGGTTTTAATTTTGATCTCTCTGATGGCTAGGGAGCCTTAGCGTTATTTTCATATGTCTATTAGCCATTTGAATTTGTTCTTTTGAAAAATGTCTATTCATTTCCTTCACCCATTTCTTCAAAGGGTTGTTTTGCTGTCACTGGGTTTCTGGAGCTCTTTGTTAATCTTAGATATTGGTCCCCTATTAGTTGTGTAGTGTGCAAAGATTTTCTCCCATTTCATTGCTTGCTTCTTCACTTTGTTAATTGTTTCCTTTGCTATACAGAAGCTTTTTAGTTTGATGTGGAATGATTAGTTTATTTTATCTTTGACTGCCTGTGCTTTTGGTGTATTTTCCAAGAAGTCTTTCCCCATTCCTATATATTGTAGAGTGCTTCCTATGTTTTCCTCTAATAGTTTGATAGTTATTTGGTGCAGATGGGGTTCTTGCTTCTTAGCTCTGCAGGCTGCTATCCAATTGTCCCAACAGCATTTGTTAAAGAGAGTGGGCTGTTTCCTTGGATTGTTATCAGTTTTCTTGTCAAAGATTAGTTGACTATGCATGTGTGGGCTCCATTCTGGCGTTTCTATTCTGTTCCATTGATCTTCTCTGTTTCTGTGCCAGTACCAGACTATTTTCATGACCACTACTCCATACTATGTCTTGAGGTCTAGAATTGTGATTCCTCCAGTTTGATTTTTATTCTTCTATCCTGAAGCTTTGGCTATTTATGGTTTCTTGTGTTTCCAGATGGGCTTTTGTATTTTCTGTTTCTGAGAATGTTGGGATTTTGATTGGGATTGTGTGGAATTTGTATATTACTTTTGGTAATATGGACATTTTGCTGATGTTGATCCTGCCAATCCAGGACATGGCAAGTTTCTCTACTTTTCAATGTCTTCTTCTATTTCTTTTTTTTAATGTTTTATAATTTTCATTATTGATGTCTTCCACATATTCAGTTAGACTAATTCCTATGTATTTAAGATTTTCTTCTGTTATTCCAAAAGGGACTGTACTTGGAATTTCTTTCTCAGCCATGGAATTATTTGTGTACACTAGTGCCATCGATTTGTGTTCATTAATTTTGTATCTTGCTACCCTGCCAAAGTCTCTTATGAGTTCCAGTGGTGTCTTGACTGAGTCTTTTGGTTCTCCTATGCAGAGAATCATGTCAAGGATAACTCAGTTCCTCATTTCTGATTTGAATTCCTTGTGGGGTTTTTTTTTGTTTGTTTGTTTTTGCCTAATAGCCCTGGCAAGGACTTGCAATACTGTATTGAGTAACAGTGGTGAGTTCCAGATCTTAGTGGAAAAGCTTCCTGTCTTTCCTCATTTAGTATGATACTGGTGTTGGGTTTTTCATATATTGCTTTGATTGTATTATAGAATGTTCTTTCTATGCCTATCTTGCTTAAGGTTTTCAGCATGAAGCAGTGTTGGATTTTGTCAAATACCTGCTATGCATCTATTGAAATGATCTGTGGTGTCATTGATCGATTTTTGAATGTTGAACCATCCCTGCATGCCAGGGATGAATCACCTGATCCAGGTGAATGATATGCCTGAGCATTGTTGAATCCTATTGGTTAGTGTTTTGTGACATGTATGTTCATTAGGGATATTGGTCTGTAGTTTTCTTTTTCTGTTGTATCTCTATCTGGCTTTGGTATTAAGGTGATATTGACTTCATAGAAAAGTTTGAAAGGATTGCCTCCCTTTCTGTTCTTTGGAACGGCTTGTGGAGAATTGGGTAAATTTTTCTCGAAAGTTTGGTAGAATTTAGCCATGCGGCCATGTGTCCAGTGCTTTTTTTTTTTTTAGAAGGGATTTAATTACTCTGTTCTTCAACTAAATCTTTAAAAAGAAAAAAAAAAGAAAAGACACCATCAAATTGTTTTTCAAGTGAGGATACCATTTAAAAATAGAGAGAGAGAGTTCCCATGTGCTAGTTTACCCCCCAGTAGCCCATAGTGACTGGGACTGGGCATAGCAGATCCTGCAACCAGAAACTCAATACAGATCTCATGAATAGCAGTAATCAATTTAGCTTAATCATTGCTGCTGCCTCCAAGAATCTGTTAGCAAGAAGCTGGAGCTAGGTTGCTGGAGCCAGTGTTGAGCTTAACCACCACAATGTGGGACGTATGCAACTTAGTTGGACTTGCCTGTCTATTCTCTTAATCGTGCCCTCCGATAAATAATAGGTTTTACATTCAATCAGCAACAATTTCCCTTTCAATTTATCTGTGCTGATGAATTTTTGATTATCTCCAAAGTTTGGAAAGATATTTTATATCCTAGAAGATTTTGTTTTAGTTTTGATGTTCATGTTAATCCATTTCCAATTTGGCTTTATTTCTGTGATTTATATTTACTGTTAATTCATTAACAAATATTGAACACATTGATGTTAAGCATTATTATGGTAATAACTACTTAGTAAGGTCAGAACTCTGCAATTGTAAAACTCATATTCCTAGGGTAATGGTCAAAATGAGTAAATTATAGGGTGTTTTGAATACCACAGGGTTGAGAAATAGAATAGCACAAGGTGAAGGACAGTGAGAATGTTTACAGTTCTAAGAAAGGTGGTTAAAAATATGCATCATTGAAAATTTATCATTTGAAGAATGATTTGAAGAAGATGAAGGAGTTAGCCATTTCTGTTTTTAGGTGAGAAATTGTTTAGGGTAGAAAATACAGCCAGTGTAAAGGCCTGTTGGGTGGGAGCATGTCTGGTGTGGTTCAGGAACAGCCAAGGAGGCCAGTGCTATGGTTACAGGGTCTGGTGCTGTAGCCTAGTGGCAAACGTCCTCGCCTTGCATGCACCAGAATCCCATCTGGGAACTGGTTTTAATCCTGGCGACCCTACTTTCCACCCAGCTTCCTGCCTGTGGCCTGGGACCCTTCAGTTGCATGTTAGACCTGGAAGAAGCTCCTGGCCCCTGGCTTTGGATCAGCTTAGCTCTGGCTGTTGTAGCCACTTGGGGAGTGAGCTAGCAGAAGAGATTGTTCTGTCTGTTTCTCCTTTCATGTGTTTGCCTTTCTGATAAAAATAAATAAATTGATAAAATGCAACAACAGGTCTATGTGTATGTCTTCACAGTATCAAAAGAATTCATTATTGCTTCCTTAAATATCTATCTAAAGTGGATGTCTCCTTTCTTGTCCCTTAACAATAAATTTAATGTTGTAATATGTTCCTTGTTTCAGAAAGATCCAGATTATCTGAAGCTGTGGTTGGACAATTTTGTTTCCAGCTATGAACAGTTCTTGGATGTTGACTTTGAAAAGCTGCCTACCAGGTATGTAGAAGCACTAATTTCTTACCCTTAAGTGAACTTATTTGTTTTTGTCACAGTGGTTTTATTGATGACATGTGGCAAGAATGGCAATTGCTTTGCACTCCTTTTTTTTTTCTAAGATTTAATTTTATATTGAAAAGTCAGATACACAGAGAGGAGGAGAGACAGAGAGGAAGATCTTCCATTCTTTGATTCACTCCCCAAGTGACTGCTACAGCTGAAGCTGCACTGATCCAAAGCCAGGAACCAGGAGCCAGGAGCTTCTTTCGGATTTCCAATGTGGGTGCAGGGTCCAAGGCTTTGGGCCGTCCTCAACTGCTTTTCCAGGCCACAAGCAGGGAGCTGGATGGGAAGCGGGGCCACAAGGAATAGAAACAGCACCTATATGGGATCCTGGCACATGCAAGGTGAGAACTTTAGCCACTAGGCTCTTGTGCTGGGCCCATTTGTACTCTTGATACTCTTTCTCTCATGGCATGCATTGCCAATTGATCATACCAGTTTTCTTGGTGATAGCAGACTTGCTTCTGGAAACCACTTTTACGCTTTAATGAGATACTACCAACTGAGTATCCTGCAATTGATTTTATTTCTTGCAGTAATCAGTGTTAGCACCTAGGCTGACAAATCAAGGGCAGAGGTCCTTCACAGGACTGCTCTCATGAGTGGTCCTGGGGGCCACGTGCACTTCTGACCAAGTGGCTGAAATTCAGGGTTCTCAGGTTTATTAATACACTAGACTCAGGCATTTTGGAGAAAGTATTGGGCTGGGGATTATATCTGGTAAAATTGTCCTATTGTAATATGACAAGATATGGAAAAGTCTTAGATGCAGAACTTTGTTGCCTTCTATTAAGTCAGAAAATAGCACTGTGCCTTACAAAGTGTGTTCCGAAAGCCCCTTGAGCTCTGCGTGTGCCGAGTTTCACTGGGCTCTTACAGCAGCATTGGCCATGTGTCTGAGCTCCACGTGCAGTCCCTCTCCCTGTCCAGAGGATTGGTGGGAGTAAGGCTAAAAGTTTCATCCTATTAATGTTTGATCTTTCTGGTTGATGAAAAATATGTAAGGGCCCACATGAGTCACTTCATTTATATGAATTCAGGTGTAATCCTAAGTGACTTGTTAGATGTAACAAAAGATATTCTTATCACTCAGAAATTCCCAGGTTTTTGAAACTCAGTGCTAGGACTCTAGCACATAGATTTGATATGTATTCTTTACTGCAGATAGATATGCAAATTCACACTTATTTCTGTTTCTGGCCTTAGAATACAGTCTTCAAAAACATTGAGGAGTGGCAAGATAGTGAGACTTTTTAAAAACTAGATTAAAAAATGATAAAGGAAAATTTCAAATGGTATTAAAAACATACAAATCTTCATTACTCCATTCATGTTCTGGATTCCTGCAGTTGTGCGTCCACTTGCCAGTGTCTTTGTAACTCACTTTCTTGAAGGCCTTATAGCTGTTAGGTAGCAGAAGTTGTATAGAATGATAAGTAAGAGAACTAAGGCAGGTGTTTAGCCACAAAAGAAACTCCAGTTAAAGTTACATGATGGGAAGGAAAGTGGGGAATTATGATAGTGGTTAATGATGAAAAAGGGTACCTGGGGAATTAATAACTTGCTTGGAGGATACCAGGTGAATGTAGAATAGAGAAGCAAATAAAACCCCTCTTCTTCCACTTAGAATGGATAAGAGTGCTACTAAAATTTTTCCCGTATGAGACTATCCTGATCAACTTTGTTTTTCAAAAGTTATTTTAGAAAGTGACTTTGGGCACAGCATTTAAGACACTTGCCTCTCATGTTGGAGTGCCTGGATTCAAGTCCTGACTCCACTTCTATTCCAGCTCCTTGCCAGTGCACATACTGGGAGGATGGCTCTAATGCTTTGATCGCTGCCACTTTTTTGGGTGACACAGATTGAGTTCTGGACTCTTGTTATTGTCCTGTCGCAGCCCTGGATATTGTGGACATTTGAGGAGTGAACCAGCATATGGAAGTTCTGTCTCTGTGTTTCATTTTATAGAGATTATGGAGAATATTTGAATTTAGAGCAAGAACCTATAAGAAATTAAGAAATAATTGCAATAATCCAGAGAAGTTGTTGTTGGAGTTGTGTACAATATATTGAACTCAAAAAGGATTTGATATAGCTAAAAAGACTAATTTTTATAAATATGTAGTTTCAGATTTTTCCTTATATTTTGTTTATAGAGGCTGGAAAGTATTACATATTGAACTGTCATCAAAGTAAGGTTGTATGTCAATGATGTCTAAGAAAAGCATTCTTGTTTGTGCCTTAGAATACTTTAAAAATTTTATTTATTTTCACTTTATTTGAAAGGCAGAGAGATAGATGCACAGGCTTAGTTCTTTTACCTCCTAGTTCATTCCCTACATGCCCATAACAGCCAGAATTGGGCCAAGCTGAAGCAACGAACCTGGACCTGAACTTGAGTCTTCCATCTGGAAAGTAGGAACCCACTTTCTTGAGCCATTACTTGCTGCCTCCCTGGGTATATATTACAGATGTTGGATAAGAAGTGGAAGATGCTGGACTTGAACCAGATGCTCCAGTATGACATGTGGTACCCTAGTGTCAAATGTGACTCCTGATGTACTTGTATTTTGATGATTTACAGCTAACTTTAAATAATATTACCTATGGATGTTAATGTGTAAGGATTTCAATTTTCATTTAGAATATTGGAATGAAAGCTTCTAGAGTTTCTAGGTGGAGCAGCTGTTTTAAATAATTTTTTAAATAATAAATTCATTTTATTTTTGATAATGTTTACATAGTTGAGACAGATGCATGCCCATGTGGACCAATGGGGGAAAGCAGACAAAACAACTACCTCCAATCCCTATCCTCTTGCATCCCAGGAAAGTTGGGTAAAAGAGGAGAGGCTCGCTCCCAGCAGCCCAATCCTCATACTCAGGGATGGGGGATAGCCACCAGATGTCATCCCAGGGTCCGTGATATGGAACATGTTCCAAGGAAGCTGAAATAGTTTTTTTTTTTTTTTTTTTTAAGATTTATTTATTTTCATTGGAAAGGCAGATATACAGAGAGGAGGAGAGACAGAGAGGAAGATCTTCGGTCTTTTGATTCACTACCTAAGTGACCTCAGTGGCTGGAGCTAAGCCAATCCGAAACCAGGAGGCAGGAGTTCTTCTGGGTCTGCCAAACGGGTGCAGGGTCCCAAGGCTTTGGGCTGTCCTTGACTGCTTTCCCAGGCCACAAGCAGGGAGCTGGATGGGAAGTGGGGTCACCCAGGATTAGAACTAGTGACCATATAGGATCCCGGCGTGTGCAAGGTGAGGACTTTAACTACTACACTATAGTGCCGGGCCCTGAAGTAATTTTGATATTTCTGACATGCTGTGGATTTCATTGCTCCCAGGTTAAGGAAATCCTCCCAAGGTCCATTGGCTACATACTCCACCTTAGAGTCTCCACTCATCCAGATGTTTCCTTGCGATGCTTGTCTGGGAGAGCTGTCCAATTTGTTCTTCTATCCTCTAGATGTCCATGGTACTAGATGTCTTCTGCAGGCCTCAGAGAGCTGGCTTTCATGTTCCCCCTGAGCATCTGAGCATGCCATCCACTGCACAGGCCTCAACAATCATGGCGCTCCAATTCTGATACACGTACCCCATGGTCAAACCACAGATCCTACGATTTTCACTGTGGTTGGAGTTCTGAGTCCAGTGATCCAGTTGGGGACATCCGCAAAGAAGCCTTGCCAGAGGTGACCCCAGCCTGACTCCTGTGTGTGCCTGCCAGTGCAGGGCCTGGTTCAGTCCATCAGTGACATCAGCCTATGCACACAGTGGTGGTTGCAGTCACCTGGTCAGTTTGTCCCTAATCCCATCTCATATGCCAGCCAGTGGATGCTGCAGCCCAGCCTAACCCTGCCTACCACACACTGGGCCTTTATACATACCAGCCAGAGCTGCAGCCAAGAAGGAATGATCCCCAATAACCCCCATCAGGCCCACCCCTAAGGCCAGTTCCTATGCATGCAGGTATGTGCAGCAGACTGATCTAGTCTGTCTTGCATCCCATTTGGCTCTTGTACACACCAGTGGGTATAGGAGCCTATCTCAACCTGACCAATGCCACTATACAGCCCAAATTCATGCACTGGGAAGTAGTGGTTGATACTAACAATTCTAGCTCAGGTCTCCCGTGAGGGCAGGTGTATTGATTTGACCCTAAAAAGTCCTCCAATTTCCTTCCTCTAAACCACCTGGTTTCAGCCCCCTCGCTTACCTACAAGTGCAAAAACCTGGTTGGTGGAAATCCCTTAGAAGTCATTTCTTACCTGTCATGTTCTTCCTCAGCAGTCCTCCTTCCCACACATCTCCAGACTTGCCTCCCCAAGCAATCCACAGCCTCCCTTGTCCGTGAGCATGTAGATCCCCAAGCCCGGTTCTCCGGTGGTAGCCATGCCAACCTGGAGCTCTACCTGCCTAACCAGCGTAATCTGCCCCCCACATATCTTAAAAAAAAAATAGAATAGGCAACTGTGCTGATACAGTTAACACGAGTTTAGCATTAACCAGGTCCAGGATGCTCACCAGCTATTAGCTGCTTTTCTCCCAGCAGTGTAACACTTGCTTAGGTACAATGCAACCTGGGCAGTTGTCTGTAGCTGGGTAGCTTAGCAATTTAAGATGTCTGTTTCCTCATATCAAAGTGTTGGGTTCAGTTACTTTCTTCATCTGTCTGACTGTAGCTTCCAGTTAGATTCCCAGGAGACAGTGGTGACTATTTATGTAATTGGATTCCTGCCACTGTGGGAGACTTGCATTCTTGGCTCCTAGTCTCAGCTGTTGTGCTCATTTGGAGAATAAAACAGTGAATGGGATCTCTTTCTTTGTTGAAGTTTCAATGTGCAATTGTTATTATCATAAAGTATAATGTCTCCTTTTCTGGGAGGTCATCTCCGAAAATGCTACATTTTATATTAACACTGTGTCTAAACACAGATGAGCATGCATTAAAGAGTGGGAAAGACGTTTGGCCTAGAGGTTAAGATGCTTGTGTCCCACATTGGAATCTTGGCTTCTTGTTAAAGCAGACCCTCAGAAGCAACAGTGATGGTTCAAGTAATAGGATTCCTGCTACTCCCATGGGAGATCTGGATTGAGTTCCAGGGACTCTACTTCAATGTTGTCCCATCCCAGCCAAAGCCAGCATTTGGAGGAGTGAACCAAGGATGGCAGCTGTCTCTTTGAGTTTGTCTGTTTCTCTCTGACTCTCAGAAACAGATACTTCCCCAATCTTAAAGCATAAATAATAGATTGTGTAAATGTTATATGCAAGAGTGTAATAAGCTAGCCACATTACCTTAATGCGGATAAGTTTGTATTTCTTGTTTAAACTGACTTGAAATATTTTTCAAGGAGAAAATTCATAACAGATTTTCACCAGATTTTAAAACCTTGGAACTTAGACTTCTTTCTTGTTAGACATCAACAAGCATTAGTTGGTTTTTACAGTAGGTATTCAGTGGATACATAAAACATATTTCTGGGGTTTGGGAAATTGCAACAAGAGTATGGAATTTTGGGTAGTAAAGATCCAGATGTGAAGAAATTCTTCCAAGTTCTTACAATGCTCATTACCTTAGGAAAATAGTCCCCAAATTTCAACTTCATCCCTACATATGTTCTAATTAAGCCTCAGCTTTGCAAAGATTATTAGTGAAAACAGTTCTATTTTTAGAAGAAAAATTTTGGGGGACCAGGCATGATAGCTTCACTTTGCCTGTACCTGGGTGCTGGTTCATTTCCTGGATGCTCCACTTCCCATCCAGCTCCCTGCTTGTGGCCTGGGAGAGCAGTTGAGGACAGCCCAAAGCCTTGGGACCCTGCACCTGCATGGAAGACCTGGAGGAAATTCCTGGCTCCTAGCTTTGGATCAGCTCAGCTCTGGCCATTGTGGTCACTTGGGTAGTGGATCAGTGCATGGAAGATCTTTCTCTTTGTTCTCTCCTCCCTGTAAATGTGACTTTCCAATTAAAAATAATTTAAAAAGCTTTGTTTTTAAAAAAGAAGGTAACTTCTTAGACTGTTTATATATTTATTTGAAGTTGCAAATATAGAAGGTCAAGACTGATGACAAAGGGAAATGCTTCTAAGTAACTAGGTAGAATATTGGAAAATCTAATGTCTTCTTTCTTGTTGACATGCTTTTTGAGAAGTGCAAGGGATAGTTTAGTCTTGAAAATTAGTTATGTTTAACTATTTTTTCAGTCTCTCAAAGCTACAGTGGTTTTTGCAACCACCACTTTTTAGCTCATTGGCAGACACAGACTGTATGTGAAAATGAGAGGGTTTCTGGTAGTGCCTATAAACATGATACTGTGAAAGAATCCAAGGCTTCAAGTGACATGGTGCCAAAACTATGATATTTCTGTAACTTGGTAATAGAATTTGATACTTTGTAATGTGCTTTGTAAATTATTTCCTGTGTAATTTAGTTAAAATCAGATGTTCATTTTATAAAACCACATCCGTTGTGTGTTGTAGGGTGGGTCATAAAGAGGCAAAATGTATTTATCATGTGAATTGTTGTGACTGCTGGTGATCTCTTCAAATTCTTCTGCCTGCAGTGAATCAAATAGTCTTTTACTCAGTTTAAAGATTTTAGTAACATTTCACATTAAACATTATCTGCAGAAGAGACTACTGGAAGGTATAATTATTTAATCATAGGAGCCCTTCAGAGAACTGTCGTCATATTTGGTCTTTTTATTCCTTAAATATTTGTTTATTTGTTTAAAAGGCAGATTTTACAGAGAGAAGGAGAGACAGAAAGATTTCCTATACGCTGGTTCACTCCCCAAACAGCCATAACAGCTGGAGCTGCGCTGATCTGAAACCTAAGCCAGGACGTTTTTTTTTTTTTTTTTTTTTTGGTTCTTCCATGTGGGTGTATGGCCCCAAGGACTTTATACTGTATTACTTTCCCAGGCCATAAACTGGGAGCTGGATTGAAAGTGGAGCAGCCAGGACCCAAATCAGTGCTCGTATGGGATGCTGATACTAGAAGGTGGAGGATCAGGCTATTGAACCATGGTGCTGGCTCTGCAGATTTGGCCAATTTTTTTCTAATGGATATAGGAAAATTAGGATCCAGTGGTTTATGAACAGACGCTTAAGTTTTAGTGATGATATATTTAAAATATGCTACTTTTGTAGTTTTTTATGTGTTTTACAGATGAAAATGCATAATGGCTGGTGTCAGAAACGTGTGAAATAGGGTAGATGGTGTTAAAATTATGTAGATATGGGAATCATTTAATCCAAAGATTAAATGAGCAGTTCTGTTTTATGGATTTAGTACCCAGGTAGACTTTGGATCTAGGTGTGGGTTTTTATTGTAAGACACACTACAGAGGCCATTTTTGTAAGAAGTTGGCTTTTGTTAGTTTCAAAACGTTAAAAAAAATCTTTCATTCGTGGCCTCTGCATTTATCTTTTCATTTTACTTTTTTCCCTTTTGTTGGTAATACATTTTCCCTCTTCCAAATACCTGGCTCGGGTGGTCATTATGTAGATTGTCATCTGCTTTATTGTAAATGAGACTAAATACTAAATTTTATTTAGGTACATTGCTTTTAATCACTGGTTAAGGTTTTTTTTAGAAACAGTATATGTACACATTTAATATTTCTAATTGGGAAGTGCATTTACTTTTAGTCTAAATATTTCAGTTGACAATAAAACAAGTGAACATACTAACCTGTTTGTATTTCCCTTTCCTTATCTCTCTGATTTTCTTTCCATATCTGCCTGCCTCTGTGACTGCCTCCATCTGCTCGCCCCACCAAGCAAAACTCCTCTGAAGTCAGATTAATTGCTTTGCTTTGGTGATCTTCTAGTAACTTACTTAACTGATTATGTGATGGGCCATTAATGATGAGAAGGCACAGAGTGCTTGGAATGAATAAGAGAGCTTCAGGGCTGAACATGCAGTTCATTTAAGTGTCAGAGGTTTTCTTATGTTGTGCATACCTTTTCTCCCTTTCTTTGTAGGGTGGATGATATGCCTCCAGGAATATCTCTGCTTCCTGATAATATTCTGCAGGTTCTGAGGCTCCAGCTGCTGCAGTGTGTTCAGAAGATGGCAGATGGGTTAGAGGAACAACAACAAGCCTTGTCCATTTTACTTGTCAAGTTCTTCATTATTCTTTGCAGGTAACTGGAACAAAAGTAACCTATTTATTTTAAAATAATTATTACTAAGATAATAGCAATAATGCATTAATGATGTTTGTCATTCATGTAGAGCCTGAAAGAGTGAATGCCCCTTTTTGCAATAGGCTTGGAATTTGATAGTATAGTGGGATGTCTTTTAGTTATAAAGATGTCCAAACAAGATTTTAAAAAATTTGTATTACAGCATAAAGAAGTTTACACTAAAGCAAGGGATTATTACAGCCGGGACTGAGATTTTGATACAGTGGATTAAGCCTCTGCATACTACATCAACATTCCATATGAGTGTTGGTTCAAGACCTGGCTGTTTGACTTCTTATCCATCTCCATTGCTAATATGCCTGGGAAAACAGCAGAAGATTCCCCAAATGCTTGGGCCCCTGCCACATACCTTAGAGACCTGGCTGAAGCTCCTGGCTCCTGGCTTCAGACTGGCTAGACCTGGCCATTGCAGCCATCTGGGGAGAACTAGCCAGCAGAGGATTTCTGTCTTTGTCTCTTCCTTTTTCTCTTTCATTCTTTCAGTAAAGGATTAAAATCCTAAAGAAATAAAAAATTTTTAGAGACATTTTTTATTCAAAAGGCTGTTTGACCAAAAAAAAAGGAGAAACAGAGAGATCGTCCGTCTGCTGGTTCACCCCTTAAATACCACAATGGCCAGAGCTGAGCAAATCTGAAGCCAGGATCCTGGAGCTTCTTCTGAGTCTCCCATGTGGATACAGGGCCCCAGAGACTTGGGCCATCCTCCACTGCTTTCCCAGGCCACAAGCAGGAAACTGAATCACAAGTGGAACATTTCGAATACAGACTGGTGCTGCAGCTTCAGGATTAGCTTGCTATGTTACTGCTGTTCCCCAAAAGAAAACTATTATACTAGTTTTAACTCTGTGATTCTCATTTATAACTATGTATACATTTTTATTGCTCTATGTATACTGTGTATAGATTTTTATTCCTCTGTGCTTCTCACTTATAACTATATTCATTTTTGTTATGGTGTGATATTGCTTATGAAAAGGTATCATGTCTTCCAAATAGTTTTATGATTTTACTGTATCAAGTATAATTGTTGTTGAAGTTTTTAGTTTACAGAATATGTCTGTGGTACTAAATTTTGTGATGTAAGAGGATCAGTTTGGAAGCCTAGTAGAAACACACAGATCAAAGCCTATTTTGAATCCCTTTCCCATCATGTAAATAATTTCTTTTATAAATACTTCATAATTAATTAGTTGATGAATAGTGACTTAATTGGCCTTTTGTTTTCAATCTAGTAGCTCTTTGCCTTAGATTGAAAGAATGATGGAATAATTGAGAAGAATTGTTAAAAACATTTTATCTCTTTCTAACCCTTAGTCGTACTTTTGTTTTCATGCTCTTTCTCATCTTTGGAAAAGTAATGCAAGCATTTTACAGGTTAAGGGGAAAAATGCTTACTCAGGCAGTAACATGTGATTAGGACTCTGTGGTGGTTATTTGCTGAACTGCTTTCTATAGATTTGTGAAAGTTTATGATTACATGGATAATTGTTTTAACTCCATTTTATCTAGTTCTTGATAATAGTAGGAAGCATAGGGATGATCAACACGTTTTTCATTTGAGGTTTTTTTTTTTTCACTAGAAGTTACTCTCTACTGATAAATTTCATATTCATTAACTACCAGTTACAGGATATGCTTCTGTTTCCAGACCTTGGCTTTATTTATTTCTTCGTTTCTTTGTTCTTCCCTCCTTTCTTGTTTATTTATTTTCTATTGAAACAACAGATTTACAGAGAGAAGGAAAGACAAAAATCTTCTGTCCCTGGTTCATTCATTCCCTAAGTGGCTGTAGCAGCTGGAGCTGAACTGACCCAAAGCCAGGAGCCAGGAGCTTCTTCTGGAGCTACCACATGGATGCAGGGTTCCAAGGCTTTGGGCCATCCTCTACTGCTTTCTCAGGCCATAAGCAGGGACCTGGATGGAAAGTGGAGCAGCCAAGACATAAATTGGCATGCAGATGGGATCCTGGCACTTACAAGATGAGGAGCCATTATGCCAGGCCCTTCTTTGCTTTATTTTTTAAAACTGCTGTTAAGCATTTTAATAAATCTTATGTTTCAAAATAACCTGAGTTTATAGAGCATTCTCATATATTTTCTTCTCTTCTTGTCTAGTTTTTTGTATTTTAACATCTTGCATTAGAATGGTACTTTTTTTTTTAGTATCGTACATTTGTTATAATTGATGAACCAGTTACTGAGTAAAATCGATATTGTAGATTATTGTTTGAGTTATATATTTCTATGGATTTTGATGTATGCATGTTATCAGCCCTGACAGTTGAGGGCATTTCAGGGGTGAAGCATGAATGAAATCTCTCTCCCTACCTCTTCCATGCTGCATGTGTGAACACACTGACTGGTCAAATAAGATTAAGAAAAAAAAAACCCTCTATATGCGGATTTTGACATGAATAAAAATTTTTTATTCATTTTATGAAAATGTAGGAATGTAATTGCAGTATCTTATGGTTAGCTTATGTTAGCTTTACTAGAAGCTGCCAAATTGTCTTCTACAGTGGTTGTATCTTTTTAAAAATATCTGTTTTCATTTGAAGCAGATTTTACAGATTTTGCAAAGGAGAGGTGGATTTAGAAGGTTCACCTCCAAATGGCTACAACAGCCAGAGCTGAGTTACCTGAAGCCAGGAGCTTTTTCTGGATCTCCCTCATGGGTACAGGCCTTGTGCCATCCTCTGCTGCTTTCCCAGGCCATAAGCAGGGAACTGGATGGAAAGTGGAACAGCCAGGACAGAAACTGGCACCCATATGGGATGCCAGTGCCATAGAGCCTGGCCCCCTAGTCCTTGGATATTTTAAATTCCCATTGGCAGTGTGAGTGGCTTTTGTTCCTGTTCCTTTCCGGTAATCCATTCTTTGAGATTTTAGTCATTCTAGTAGATATTTATGGTATCCGTTTTCGTTTGTAACCGCGTAATGACAAAGATGTGCAGCATCTTTATATGGCTAATTGTACCTGTATATTCTTTGGTTCAATTTCTATTTAAATTTTTTGCCCATTTAAAGTTGTCATGCTTTTTTCTTCTGTTAAGTTTTAAAAGATTTTTGAATATTTAGAGATACAATTTTTTTTATCACGTGTGTGTTTTGGAACTATTTTCACCTAGTCTGTGACTTAGCAGTCTTTTTTGTGGGTAGATAATTTTAATGAAGTCCAGTCTATCTACTTGTTTTCCATGGTAATGTTTTTGTTTTTTGTATTTGATAACTCATCAGCAGGGGGCTGTCATTGTGATACAGTGGGTTAAGCCACAGTTTGCATTCCATATGAATGCCAGTCTGAGTCCCAGCCTTTCCACTTTAATCCAGCTCCCTTTTGGAGGCCTAGGAATAGCAGCAAAAGATGGCTAAAGTATTTGGTCTGGATGAAGCTCCTGGCTCCTGTTGGCCTGGCCTGTCCCATCTGGGAAGTGAACCAGTAGGTGGAAGATCTCTCTGTCACCCCTTCTCTACCTCTTTCAACTAAATAAATGTCTAAAGAAATCATCAGCAAAGTCTTGGTCACTTAGATTTTCTTGCATGTTCTCTTCTATTATTGTTATAATTCATTTCACTTTAAAGCTATTCTCATCCAACATGTTTGTTATTGTTTTGAATGAATGATTATGTTAAATCTCTGAAGAATAATTTAAAAATTGTCATCACTTATTCCTTTTTAATTCTTGTGCTTTTTTAATGTAGTCTCTGATGTTTGTAAGAATTAATTTTTCAGTTAATAGCCTTTACATTTTGTGAAGACGAGTGATTTTTTTTCAAAAAAATAAATGATTTAGTTGTTTGTCTGTAATACAGTTATTGAGAGCGCAGAGGACATACAGAGACGTAGACTTTCCAACTGTGGTGCACTTCTTAAAGGACAGTGACAGGTCGGCTGGTCCAGGCCCAAGACAGGATCCTGGAATTCTGCCTGGGTATCCCACAAAGGTGGCATGCGCCCAGGTAGTCTGGCCACCTTCAGCTGCCTTCCCAGGTGCATTAGCAGGGGCTGGGTTAGAAGTGGAACAGCAGAGACTTAAGCAACCTTCATGTGATGGCTCTGTTCATCCTTTTTAATTGCTCTCAGAAGATTCTTTTCACCCTGAGTGTGGAACTCCTACGAAGTCTTCTGATTTTACCCATGTTTTTATTCTTCACTTTGTCCAAGATGTCGTGACCATCTGAATTTTTATAGTGGGAATTCTATTAATTCAGGGACTGTAGGCAACGCCGGTGCCGCCACGTCCACGTACCCCAAGCCGAGCAGAGGGACTAGGGTTACAAAAAAGACAACACTCAGTGGGTCATTCTTGTAAAGAGAATGCCCTTTGTTTGAAGTTGGCCTGCTTCTTTATAGTCTGCCTAGTTCCTCCCAGTATTTTCCCAATGCTCAAGCAACTCCTAAGATCCCCTGTGGGCATCTTGATAAACAGGAAGCAGGGAAGAGGGAACTTGCAGTCAAGCCAGGGGCTAAATGTATCAGGCCAGGATTGCCCATCCTGTTACCCCTTGAGAAACAAGCTAAGCTGTGGAGTTAACCCTTGTGACCAGGTGTTTAACCTAGTTGTTAAGATACCTGCATCCCACATGAAGTGCCTGTGTTCAGTACCTGCATCTAACTGTAGCTCTTTGTCTCAATTTCTTGGCTCAAGCAGGAATGATGGCTTAAGTAGTTAGATCCTTGCCACTCATGTGGGTGACCTGGATCGAGTTTCCTGCTGCCAGCTTCAGCATTGTAGACATTTGGAGAGTGAGCCAGCAGATGGGAGCACTCTCTATCTTGCTTTCAAATATGTAAATAAATAAGTAAATAATTTTTAAAAGATGTGTGTTTAGTTAATTTTAATGCTCTAGCATCTACTACATTTTTAGTTATAAATTATTTCACAAGGTATAAGTATCTGAGAATTGAAAATTAATAAAACTACCTTTTTAATGTGAAAATGGTTTTAAGTGTAGTAAATATTAGCATTTATGTATCATACTCAAATCTTGTACAGTAAAAATGAATACCATATTATAGCTAAATATCAAGCTCCTATTGAGTTACTGCTTTAAACAGGATATTGTGCTGTCTTAGTCTGTAACAATGCTGGTCGCCCTTCCAATCAAATATTTTTTTAAAGATTTATTTATTTGGGAGTTAAAACTGGGGGATGGAGGGAAAGAAGGAATAAGGGTATGTGTGTGAGAAAGAGAGAGAGAGATCCTTCCATCGATTGAATTTACTCTCCAGCTGTCCGCTTTGGCTGGATATCACAGTGCTGACCCGTATCAAGGGTTTTTATCCTAGTCAAGGAAATCTGGTATACCAAAAGCAACATGAAAATTACAAAGCCATACATATAGTATGATGGCAATGCATACACAAAATTGAACTGAATGTCTGCATTGTGGAGAAACTTGTAAGAAAAAATTTAGACATAAATGCTTGAGTTTAAAAAAATGAATTTTTTCTTTTCCTATTTTGTGACATTTTTCAGTTTTCTGTAATACATTGATGCTGTTTCACACATTTATCATACACAACAAAGTTAAATATTGCTTAAAGTGCTTTTTACATTTTCACTGGGAAAGTACTCAGAATTGTGATTTTGTGTTGTAGGAAGTGTCATTTGTACATTGTTTACCAAAATATGTTTTCAAAATTCAAACTAAATATATGAGCATGCTTTCTATTCACTGTTCTTTTTTTAATTATAGAAATCTGTCAAATGTGGAAGAAATTGGGACTTGCTCATATATTAATCATGTCATCACCATGACAACCCTTTATATTCAACAAGTAGGTGTAAACTAATATATTTCCTTTCTGTTGTTTTACTGTGACGAAATAGCTTTTGCTTTCTGTAATTATAGTGAATATAGTAACATGTTTTCAGAGGAGATAATAATTTAGAAGAGAATTAGAATTGTTGGGTAATATATGTAAGAAATCTTAATGTATTTAAAGATGTATGTTGCCTATTGTAATTAAGCAGTTACAATATTTTATAAATTAAATAACACAGTTTGTGATTTTATGTGTTAATTGTTTGTCTCTCTTTATAGGACGTATTTATTTCAAAAGATAATGATTATCGTTTATACCTGTCTTAGGAAAAATTTTAAATTTGATTTGATGTATATAGTTTATGTGATCAAAGGCTCTTTTTTGACCCAGTGGGGAAAATAGGCTATTTTGAGCAAAAATAATTTACTGTTATATGATGAGTGAGCATGCCCTTTAATTTTATTTGTAACTTTATTCTCAGTTAAAAAGCAAAAAAAAGGAGAAGGAAATGGCAGATCAGACTTCTGTTGAAGAATTTGTGATCCATGCATTGGCTTTTTGTGAAAGTTTGTATGATCCATATAGGAATTGGCGACATAGAATCTCGGGGTATGTCTTATAAATCATAATGTTCTTTTGAAGCATGAAAGCCATGGTAACTCTATGAGAACTTTTTAAAAGATGTTTATGAGACCCACAAATTTAACTTTGAGATAGATCATCATGATAAAGGCAATGAGTTAATGGTTAAGTTCCGAATAATTCATTGCATTCCCTGTCTGAATTTGTATTTTCAGTGCAACTGAATACTCATAATCTGATAAGAAAACTTTAAAAGCATGGTAACAACAAGTGTGGAGAACATATTTTTGAAGAAATTTTTTTTTTCAAAAAGTGTATTTCATAATTTGAAAATACTTCTTGTCAGTATTTTATACACTTATTTTTACTTGGAGATCTTATGCTTGTCAAAATCCATTTAGGAAAACAGAAAACAAATGCGATATTAAGAGAATGTAATGCAAGGAAGTTATCAAACAAATATTAAAGAACTACAAAGGCAGAAGTAGACAATGTGGTAATTCAGAGACAGTGACTTCAGGACACAGTGGCCTGCCCCCAGTTCATGTCCCCGTGGCCCCGCTTCCCATCTAGCTCCCTGCTTGTGGCCTGGGAAAGCAGTCAAGATGACCCAAAACTTTGGGACTGCACCCATGTAGGAGACCTAGAAGCTCCTGCATCCTGGCTTCAGATTGGCTCAGCACCAGCCGTTGTGGCTAGTTGGCGAGTGAGTCAACAGATGAAAGATTTTTCTCTCTGTCTCTCCCCCTTTCTGTATATCTGCCTTTTCAATAAAAATAAATAAATCTTTAAAAAAATTTATTTTCTCTTAAAAAATTTTTTTCTCTGGGGCTTCCAACTTTTCATATCTGAGATAATATCTGTGTGAAAATAATTATAGTAACAAAAAGAAAACAAAAGGAATTTATGAGTCTGTACTAGAGACATGACAGATAAGGCAAGTATAAAGATAGGACTTGGCAGACACTAATCCATATCAGTTTCTCAGACACTAATATATATGCAGTTTCTCAGATGGTTGGAAAACATTTGTCTGCCTCTCATTTTTCTAAGTTCATATCCTCCAGTTAATTTAGCCGTATTTAGATTAAATGAAGATCCTTGCCTGTAGTGGAGTACCAAGTACCAATTGTAAATGTAGAAAGTATGCTGGAAAGGGAAATCTATATTTTGCACACATGATTGTAAATACTGGGTCAATCAAGAATTGGTAGCAAGATCTTAAAAAGGAATATAACATGCTATGTTTTTAAAATTTCTCCAGCAGATTACAAGTGACTTTTGTACTAAAAACAATATTCATTTCATTCATTTTCAGCCACACTGATTTTGAAAACATACAATGTTAATCACTTTTATTTTTAATTCTGAATTAATTTTAATAGTAAATTTCTGTTATATGTAATAGTTCTCTAGGTCTCTGACCTTTCACGAACGCCATGTGGGTGTAGGGCCCCAAGTCCCAGAGCCATCCTCTTCTGCTTTCCCTGGCCATAAGCAACTAGTATCCAAAATGTGGCAGCTAGGACACAAATTGGCTCCCATATGAGATGCCAGTGCTGCAGGCAGAGACAGCTTGCTATGCCAGGGTGCTGGCACTTAGGTTTTAATTTTCATTGATTTCTGCAATGCTATATCCATGTAAGAGACTCATTTTTTCTTGAATTTTGCAGTGTTTTGTAAAAGTACATGTGATTTGCATTGTCCAAACCAAGACTGTAGACAACATTGCATCCATCAAAATTACTATAATTGTTATTAAAAACAAAGATGATTTCCACAGTAGAATTATACCCTTAGAAAGAAGCTAATTATATGAATCTGTTGTATCCAGATAAAACTTTAGAAAGTAGCAGAGAACCCTCCATTCCTGATTAATTTCTAGTGTGACATAATAATTAGCTACTGTTCTTAGTTGTTAATTTAGCAGCACTGTAAAAGAGTTCATTTAAAGATTGAAATATTTAAGGGTTAGCTCCTTTTAAAATTTGCAGTTATTTTAAGTTTTAACATGGTTACCGTGCTGCATAATTCAAAAGAAGAAATCTTTTAAATTATTGGCTAAACTTTCAAAATTATGCCAGTCTTAGAGATGTATACAGTTTTTACTCTAAAAGTGAAATATTGTATGCTTGCTCTCGCAGTGCATATATTAAAAGTAAAATATTGAACTTGTTTTATAAGTGTTTTGTAGTGTGTGTTACAATTTGTTGTTATCTTCTTTTTTAATGATAGTCGAATCCTCAGTACGGTGGAAAAGAGCAGACAGAAATATAAACCAGCTTCTCTTACAGTAGAGTTTGTCCCTTTCTTTTATCGTAAGTAACACTTCTCATTTATCTTACATTAATTTTTCATCTTATTTTGGTTATTTCTTATTCTGACCCTAGTTGACTGGCCTTTGTGATTTTATAAGAGAAAGTTCTTTAGAACCTGTCATTGTAGTACTTGATTTTTTTGGTTTTGGTCTAAATTTTGTATTGATTTGAATTTATTGAATTTGCTGTTCTGAGTTTTCCTTTTGATAAGAGATAAATTTTAATATACTATTATAAAGATACTTTAAAAAGTTCATGGCAGCTTGACATCAGAAGTTTGTGAATGTACTTCAAAACTTTTGTTGAAAATAAAATCAACCTGGCTACCATTTTGAAACTCATATATAATTTTTCATAATATCCATTTTTCATGAACTTTTTGAAGACTTCCCATGGGCTTCAGATTTGTTTGCAGCAAGATAAGCATATTTTAGTGGGTTGCAGGCCGGGGCATCTCATGCCCGGATCCTAGACTCCAGCTACTATGTGCACGTGGTGAGCTGTCCCCACATGGCCAGTGCGCCATTTAGGGCCAGGCTCTGCCCGCTGGCCGCCCGGCATTGGAGCTCTGGGGTTTTGGTTCTTTGAATTGTTGCTTAGGTAGCTCCAGGTTGAACCCACTGTGCTTCTTAGATGTGAATCAATCCTAAATATTCCCAATGACAGTGACTCTTCCTTTAAAGAACTTGTAATCACTTAACGATGCTGAGCACTGAACACCAGTTCATGCAAAAGCTAAGGCTCGACTAGTCCAGCAGGATATCCTATTACCTGCCATGATGATGGATCAGCAGACAGGTAACATTATGCAGGGCCATGACATTAACTAGCACTTGAGAACAGTATCTGGGGACAGATTCTGTGGGGGATATGTGGGCCAAACCCTAGCTCCACTGATTAGCTCAAGAGTTGGGGTGGTGATGGACTAAGCTAGGTGTGACCTAGGAATCTGCCATCAATCACAGCTAAAGGAACCCCCAGTAGTCTGGACTGGTCAGGGAAGCAGCACCCAAATGTGCATCCTGAAGAGGGTGTGGGGTGGGCTGGGTTGCAACATTCACCAGCTCGTAGAAGGCCAAATAGAAGGCCAGACTGTACCAGGCACTGGCCTAAAACCCAGTGGCATGTATGAGAACTGGGTCTGGGAGTGGATCAAGTGGACGAACTTGGGAAACTCCCTTGGCAAGTCATAGCTACCACTGGTGAACATGTGGTCCAGACCTGGGGGTCAGACAAGCTGGGAAAAGTAGCTCCAACAGCTGGCTAATGTGTCAATTGGTAATGGAACAGGGTGGATCAGGCAGGACTGAGCAAACCTTAGCCCACAAGCAAAACTAGAAACCAGGAGGAAGCCCAGCTGATGCCGAGCTAGGCTCTTGTACCTACTGGTCTACATGAGCCAGGAATACTAAGCCACAGTGTCTAAGGCAGAGATCGGGACAGGTGAGGAGCTGAGGCAAGCTGAGTCAGAACAACCACTGGCATGCACATAATCTATGGCTGGGAACAGACCCAGTTGGGGAGCTAAGGGGACAACCCTAGCTGGGTTGAGGTTGCCACCAAGGGGCACGTGGGCTGGAATGGGGGCTGCGTAATGATCAGGAAACAGTTGTAGTCTCCCTTGGCACAAATGTGAACTGGGACTGGACACACCAAACCAGGCCAGACTCCAACACCCTCTGGTGTCCTGGAGAACCAGGGTAGATGTGGGATGGACTAGGATAGGTCTCAACCCCTACTGAGCCATGTGTGAGCAGTATGTGGGTATGGACGAGCCATGGCTGGGCTGAAACATTCAACAGCAAGAACCAGTTTGGGTTGAAGGCCAGTCAGGAAAAGCCACTGTTCCTGCTAGGACAGGAGGTGAACTGAGTAGGGCTGGCTCATGGACCCACTGGTATGCGCAAAATCTGGCATTGGGAGGGGTTCTGATGGAGGAGCCTGGGCAACTCCTCTGGCAGAACACAGACCCAGCAGGTAAGCACAAGAAACATGATAGGAAACAGCCCAGAACAGGCCATGGAAAGTTTCCCATTGGCATATATCTGGCATGGATCAGGGGGAGACCAGGCTGAATCAGTTCACATCATCCACTGGCAAATCCAGGCACCAGAACAGAGTATGGGTCGAGCCGGGTTCAGTCGCAACAAAGACTAGTGCACAACACGAAATGCCAAGGTGAGGCTGCATGGCCAGATGTGACCGCAGCACCCAAACAGCAAGCATGAGAATCAGAAAGGGAGGGGGTGGAGCTGGCAGGGGGAATAAGGGGTGGTTCCGTTGCTGGACAGCTACTCCCACTGGAGAGTGTGAGCTGGGATGGGGGCAGACCAGACTAAGCAGGGTTACCACACCTGTGCTCCTCATGTGTTCTAGATCAGGGAAAAGCCAGGCTGGGTGGATTATTCCTACTGGTGCAAACAAAATTAGAGTGGGTGAGGGTTGTTGGGGCTTAGTCACAGCATTATCTGGTTGAAGCTGGCACTGGGGGCTAGTTCTGTCAAGTCAAACCACAGAACCACCTGGAGAGTGTATAGTTTGGGAGTGAGAGACACCTGGGAGAGAAATAGTGGGTTCTTCCCTCTTGGGAGGAACTTCCACGGGAGGGCATGAAAACTAGGACAGGTGCTGGGGTGGCTAGACAGAGAGGCACTCAACAACATCCGTGAGGGCTGGAGTGTTGAGCTGGTTAGATGGAACTAACCTTCAATACCTATTGACATTTACAAGAGCCAAATGGGATGTGGGACAGACTGGACTAGTCTGCTACACATACTGGACACCAGGGTAGGGGGCGGGCCTGGTGGGGGTCATTGCGGGTCGCTCCAACTAGGCTGCAGCTCCCACTGGTTTATGCAAGGGCCAAGTATGTGCTGGGCAGGACCAGGCTGGGCTGCAACACCCATTGTTTCCAGTGGAAGTCGGGAGTGAAATCAGAACCAACCCAGTAATTGCAACCACCAGCTGATCAGGGCGATGGACTGTGCTGGGCTCTGTGCTTGCTAGCACATACAAGAATCTGGTATGAGAACATCTCAGACAAAGTTTTTTTGGCGATCTCCCCAATCGAAATGCTGGACTCAGAACCCTAACCAAGAAAAGACAGAAGACAGAACAGGTCAATCAAGCATCTCAGCTATATGTTGGCAGTGAAATACGGGGCAAATGGAGACTCTATGATGGACTATGTCAATCAGTGGATTCTTCAAAGACCTTATAGTGCATGGAGTGGCAAGATTGGCAGCAATTTGTAACTGGTGAACTATCAAAACCACTTGAGCAAGAACCTCAGAGCATGCCCTACATCCGGGACCTGGGGAGGGTGGGAAACTGGGTGGGGCTTCTCCCTGAATATCCCCCTTTGCTTCAGATACATGAAGGAAACAATATGGAAATAATAGTGTTACCCACTTTCTTGTAACCCTTGAATCTTTTTACCCTAATTAACTATGTAAAGATTGTAAAAAATATAATATAAAATGAAAAAAAAGATAAGTGTATTTTAATTCTATTTTCCACAAAGTTTATAATGTTTGTATATCATTATACAAAATAAATTGAATTCCATGTGTAGATTTCCATAAAATATTTTGAGTTTTTAATCTCTTCATATACATAATTTTAAAAATTTTGCCTGATAATGAACTTACCTTGTTATTTCATTCTGTAAGATCTTTTATTTATTTATTTATTTATTTATTTATTTAGTTATGTGAAAGATGGACAAGATAGACTTTCAAGGAGAACAGACTGCTGGTTCACTCTGAGTGCCTACAGGCCTCTGAAGCTCAGAGCATGGAACTCAGTCCAGGTCTCCCACACGGGTGTTAGCAATGTAGTTACTTGAGCTGTCGCTGTTTATCTCCCCGAGTTCCCATTAGCAGGAGACTAGAGCTGGGAGCAGAGGCCAAGAGTACAAACCAGGCATGCTGGTGTGGGGTGCAGGTGTCAGCCACATAACCACATGCCTTGATCTTTTGTGACCTTTTTGAATTAGGAGAATAGATTGCCCATCTGCTACTTCATTCTGCAAAGGCCTGCAATAGCTAGAACAGGGCCAGTATGAGCTTGCACTAATTACACGTCTCCAGTGTGGATGGCTGAAACCATAGAGTTTCCCTATAATATTACTATGGCATAGTTCTTCATACACAGTCATATGTCCATCATTGTGGGCATGGACAATTGCAGAGAGTCCAGCATCCTATTGTCAAAATATAGTAAACAGTTTTATTGGGAGTTCTTCTTTCTCTGGAAGTAGAGATGCATACTGCATTGTATCCTCACATCTGGATATAATAGTCTCCGTTTCACAGTTACCGTACATCCCCTTAAACGAAAAACCACAATACAAGATAAGGACTTGAGCCACTATGTTACCACACCAGGCCAATGCTTTTGGTACCATCTTGATGACACGATCTCTTGATACTTTCTAATGTAATCCCATTATGATGAGAGAACATACTCTCAGTGTGTTAGCCATGGTTTATTTATTTATTTGGGGAGGTCCCTCTCTCGCCCACCTTGTTAAAGTGACAGGTGGGCGCCTGGACCAAGGCAAGTGGCAACTTGGGTGGGCTCACGCTGATAAACCATGGTTTGTTTTGTATGTATGTATGCATGTATTTTGTAAAGTCAGAGCTGATCCAAAGCCAGGAGCTTCTTCCAGGCCTTTATGGGTTCCAGAGCCCAAGTGTTTGGGCCATCTTCAACTGCTTTCCCAAGTCACAAGCAGGGAGCTGGATGGGAAGTGGAACAGCCTAGATACAAGCTGGCTCATGGAATCCTGGCGCATGCAAGGCCAGGGCCAGGGCCATGTTGGGGCCATGCTTTGTGCTGCCGGAAAACACACTCTCCTGCTATTTGACATCTGAGTTCACCCCAACCCTAAAAATTTTAAAGATTTGGAAATGAGTGAAAATAAGTGCAAATATAAACACCTACTGCCACCAGCTAGATGTGAAGGAGGAAAAAAAAAAAAGGAATAGCAAATGGAGACCAAGGATTTGGGACTCCAAGTCAGCTGCCCCCACCTCCTTGTCTACACATCTCCGCACACACGAAGCCACACTTCTTTCCCTTTCAATGGCTGCCCAAACACTTAGTGTTTTTTTTTTTTTCCCCCAAGTAATTCAGAGATTATTTAAAGAAGATGAAGGAATAAGTAGAAGATTCTCTGTGGATATTACAGCATTTGCTATAGAAACTGAGCATACATACATGGGAAAATGGTTTCTCTCTGGGCTAGGGCGGCTCCTGGGATCCACTATCTGCAGGGGTGCCTGTATATGCATAGCTTTTGTTTTTAAAGTGGAGGTAATGTGATGGATTAAGGAATTGGTCACAGAAAGGCTTGCTTTCCCTTGTTAAGTCTTGGTTTTAATTTTCTTTGCTTTACCCATTGTATGGTTTTATTTTTTAAAAAAATTAATAATGTTAGGAGAAAGATTACTGTAGAGACTAGAGTTTTCAAATTCTTGCCCTGGAACAGACCTAGAAAATATTTTAAGCTCGATACTTTTGTTTTATGATTGACCATCTGTAGGTGAAAATTATAACAGGCAGTAGTGGTGGAGGTGGTTGTCATTGTAATAGTTGTACAAGAAACTTTTGTCAGGTTTGGGTAATTGTTAACTCTGTTGATAAGTAGTGATGTGAGCACCTCTGGCAAGATATTAACTTCAGAACTTCTTTGTACATTTATACATGGGCACAGATTATCATCCTGTGTGAAGTATAATGACGATTAAATGAGTATGCTTAATAAATAAATGAGACGCTTAAAATGCTACCTCATAGATGGTTTATCTTATCGTTTCCTATGAAAACATTCATTTTCAACTTTTCTTTAAAACATCTTAGTTGTTTCATAAGTAGTTCTTTAAGTTTCTGTGTCAGACATTCCTTAGAGGTAAAATGTCTTGTGAAAGAGAATTCTTATTTTTGTTTATTTGTATGTTGTATTCACAGAGTGTTTTCAGGAAAGTGAACATCTCAAGGAAAGTCTGAAGTGCTGCTTATTACATCTGTTTGGAGCCATTGTAGCTGGTGGGCAGGTAAGCAAAATGTTGAAAGTTTATATTTAAAATGATAGTTAACATCCTGGAAAGCTTTCCATGGTTTACTTAATGTATTTCTTTTTATAATTTTATTAACCATAAACTTTTGTTAAAATGTGTATCTTCTTTACAACTCATCTCTTTAGTTATTTTACTTGTCTTTCAAAAGTCTGATTAGCACATATAATGAAATACTAGATAAATAACCATATTTAATAGTATCTGGCTTTACATAGTTTTTCTTTATTACTTATATTTAAATTTGGAAGTAGTATTAAATTTATCTTAGAGATTAATACAAATATATAGTACTTTTCTATTCACATCTGACAATTTTTCAAATTTGCTTGCTTTGTCTTATTTCCTCCTCTTTTTCATCTTAGTTTTAAGATTTTACTTCCTTCTTTTTAAGTATTGACTTTTTCTCTCATGCTGAAATTATAATCTTAGGTTAAGTATTTAATCTAGTGGTCAAGATACCCACATTGCATATTGGAGTTCCTGAATTTGATACCAACTCTGACTCTGTGTGCTAATGCAGACTCTGGGAGGCAGCGGCAGTAGTGAAGTAACTGGGCTCCTGGGTTTGGCTCCAGCCCAGCTTAAGCCCATGTGAGCATTTGGGGAACAAATTAGCAAGTGGGACCTCTCTGTCTGCCTTTCAAATAATACATCAATTTTAAAAGGTGTGCTTTTATTTTAAAACTGAGAAATTATAGTTTTAAAAACTTAAATTTTATTTAAAGATATAAAGCGATACCATTAATATAGTAAGCAATAGCATTTTAGGCATTAGGAAAGAATCTCTGACTACACTCAGGAAGATGCCACAGAAGTTAAGATGGATATTTTGACATTTATTTGCATTGTTTTGTATCAGTAGGAAATTTTAAATATTACAGCAATAGGAGGTTGCTCTTTATTTGATAATTTTTCATTTCCTGTTCGTGGAGATTTGAGAAAGTATTTTTCACTTTTTAGAGAAACTTAATTATAGTTATATAAACTTGTATAAATATATATAATATATAATAATTATATGCATAGTTAGGTGGCCTTTTTTCAATTTAATGTGTCCAATTTTTACTCATCTATTTGGATTTGATCTTATGAAACCATCTTGAGATAAGAATTCTGTTGATACTGGAGCAGCTCTCCTTATCTCCCTGTGTTTGTTCTGTCTTTTGTTTTCCCCTGTGTATACTCATACATGGCCTTTGTACTTCATGGGTGTTTTTCCTGTTTGCTTGTATTTCCTCTTACTGTAGCTTTCAGAGTACCACTGAAATGTCCTTCTCTTTTGTTTAATTTATCCTGTCCCTTTTTTGGTTCCTGGCCATAATCCCTGTGGTGTCGCTAAAACAGAATGGTACACACATCAGTGACAATCACAACAAAGTTTTAATAAAATGTGAGATAAGGCAACGGACCCACCGACCCATCGACCAACTGACCCACAGACTGGGACCGACACCCCATACCAGAGTGTGACCCTTAACAGCACATTTGCAGGGTTTTGATAGGGGCAATAGGCAACAGCTTGAAAGGGGCAGTTTACAATAGTTTGTAAGGTGAGGGAGGAAAGACCACACATTCTTTTGCCTATTTTGGTTGGAGAGCCTGTGCGTGGTTTTTCTCCAGTCCAGTAATTAGGGTAACCAGACTCCAGCCTTGAAGCCATCTGTGCGATAACCAGGCTTTGGCCTTGATTCATGGAAATTTAGGCCCATCAGTGCTAAAGGTCATGTAGGTTGCTTGGCCTGTGAACTCACACAGTTCTTAACCAAGCAAGCAAAGCAGAAGTTACAAAAGTGAAAAGTATTTCAGTTAGCAGTAAACCATGTTTACTCTGTTTTGTTTTTAACTCTACAATACCTACTTAGGTTTCTTTTTGGCTTTGTGTTGCCTTCTCCTTTTCACAAATTTTCTTGAAAGGAATGGTAACTAAAAATCTTATGTTCCAATTTGTTTGCTTGGTGATATTTCTATTTTAATTGTTAGCTTTCATTTAGATTGGTATCACCCCTTCCCATCATTTCTTTACTGTTATTGGGATTATAAGTATTTATAGGTGAACATAGAAGTGGCATTGTTATTAATGGATAGTATAGTATAGCTGATTGGATCCTATTTCTTTTTGAATATGAAAAGGCTTGTTCTTCTGTGTATGGCTTTTCCTAAGAGACCACTTTAATGAAAAGTTAACATGAAAATTTAGAAGATACTTGAGTTCAAATTTGGTGTTTTATTTACTGTAAAGGCCTGATTCTTGTGATGAGGGCATAGTACAGTTAAATTGAAGTCCAGTGACTCCTTTCCCAAAACATCAACCCATTGATGTAGTTGTTCTTTAGATTTGGGAATACAAAAATTAAAATGAAGTAAATTAAATATCTAAAAACCATATTCTGCTTTGTATAATGTTAAGAACAAGACATTTTTTGATAATTATTTTTATTTTTAATGATTTTTACATAGTTGATTAGGGCAATAAGGTCAAGGGCTACAGGAAGGTAGGTGAGACCATTATTTCCGCATTCTCTTTTTTTCTTTTCTGTGTCTAAGGGAAAGGGGGAGGGGGGCAGAAGTCACACCCAGCCTCCCAAATGCCTCTGTACCTGGGATGGAGGACAGCCACCCAACATCATCCCAGGGTCCCTGCCTTGGGGCATGTTCTGAGGATCCTGCTCAAGAGGCTTTGATAGCTCAATAGTTCTGAGTTACTGCTTATCTCACCACTGCAAGCATGATGATATCTCTCCAGAATCCACCAGTTGACAGAGTCCACCTTACAGCCTGCCCAGATACTCACTGCCAACACTTGGCTGGGATAGTTGATCAGTTTGTTCTATCTTCGTCCTCTGTTATGGTACCAGGTATCATCTGCAAGCTCCAATGTACTGCCATATCCTCCATGTGCACCTGGATATGTTGTCCACTGCTCGGTCTAAGCCATTGAGGATGCCCAGCTCTGACACATGCACTCCACAGTCAGATCATGGAACCTGCAATTCTCTCCATGGTTGGGATTTTTTTTTTTTTAATTTTTTATTGGAAAGGCGGATATACAGAGAGTCCAGTGACTCAGTTGGGGGATCCCCAGAGAAACTTCATTTGAGGTGATCCCTCAGAGGAGGCCTGATTTTTTTGTTGTTGTTAAGATTTATTTATTTTATTTGGAAAGTAAGATATGCAGAGAAGAGAGAGAGGAAGGTCTTCAGTTTGTTGATTCATTCCCCAGCAGTCACTATGACTGGAGTTGTGCCAGTCCTGAGCCAGGAGCCTGGAGTCTTTTCTGGGTTTCCTATGTGGGTGCAGGTCTCAAGGTTTTCGGCTGTCCTTGACTGCTTTCCCAGGCCACAGGCAGGGAGCTGGATGGGAAAGTGGGGCCTCTGGTGTTAGAACTGGCACCCATATTGGATCCTGGCACATGCAAGGTGAGCATTTTAGCCATTAACTACCATCTTGGGTCCCTTAGACATGATTCTTGTGTGTGCTTGCCAATACAAGGTCCAGCACAATCTGTCACCCCAATCAGCTTTTGTACATGCAATTGCTGGATCAATTCTATCTCCAGCTCTGTCTTTAACATGAACAAATGGGTGTTGCAGCCCAGCCTGATCCTGCCCACTACATACTCTGCCCCCACGCCAGCCAGTGGGAGCTACAGCCTAATCAAAGTAATCCACAATAATCCCAATCAGGCCCACCCCTGCCCTGGTTTCTGTGCTTGCTAGTATGTACAGCACACTGGTCCAGTCTGTCCCACATCCCATTCAGCTCTCATACATGTCAATGGGCATTGAAACTTAGTTCAACTGAACCAGCTCCACTCTCCAGCCCACACACCTGTTGGTGGGTACCACTCTCTGTCTAGCCATGCCTGCCCAAATCCTGGTTCTCAGGCCAGAAGGGAGGTGCCCACTGTTTCCCTACTGGTCCACTCCCACATCTTGCACTCTCCAGGTGGTTTTGCAGTTTGACAGAATTTGCCCCTTTTGCCAGCATCTGCCAGGTGATGCTATGGCCAAACCCAGCCTACCCACACCCACTCTGGCTTATGCTTGCTCCAGTAAGAACAGTCAACTCAGCCTGACTTTTCGCCTGATCCAATAAGAGCAAAACTTTGAAATCAGGCTGACCTAGGTCTATCTCATTACTGATTTTATAACTTTTATATGTGTTTTGTTTCTTTTTTCTTTTTTAAAATATGGAAACACTAACATTTATAGGATAGTTGTGAAGAGGGAGATGTAAAGTGTAGTTTTTTTTATTCTATGATCTTACCTTCTACTGAGAGAAGCATTTTAAGTGCAGATACATAGAGGATGGCCTAGGTGGTAGTGTTTATTTAAAAGGTGGGAAAGGAACCCCCAACACACCTGGGCATAGGTGAGGAATGGAAAAGAAGGGAAGGGTTGGGAGAACGGAAGTAGAAAGAGAAAGAAGCAGCTTTGCACCTTTTTAAATTTTGGCTTCCAAGGAAACAGGGACAAGGCCCTTGCAATATCCCCTTTTGTGAAGTAATGGAGTCACCTGGGAATTTTTTTTGCCTCTGTAAGATTTCACATGGAGCTTAACAACCATATTTATATGGCAACTTTCTCCCAGGCCTAGCCTGAAAACAGGGCATCTTAGCAAAGAGGGTATTCAGTGGGACAAGTAGGATACAGTTATTTGGGGCAGGAACTTGCGGTTTATGGCCTGCAGTTCAGCTCACTATCCTATCCCATATCCATTGTAAGAATATAAATAAAGCACTAAACAGAGTGCTTGTAAAAGAATAAATCCAGTTTTATTGTTTTCCATAAATAATAGTTAACCGTAAACTTGTACCAATTTTGTTAGTTGTCTCTATTTTAAAAAGTAGTGAACAGCCAATAGTTACCTGGGGACTTGGGAACTTCAGAGGCTCAAGTTCTTCTTGATTGTCAGTTGTTGTCCCTACTGTTCTGTGTCCCAATACAAATTGCTTCTAGAGTTCTGGCCATGCTGATCACATTTGGGCTGCAAAGATGGGAGAAGATAATGAAGTAGGGAGCAGGTGGTACATGTCAGCTGTCACTTAAAGAGATAGTGAAAAATCTGGCTTTTTGCCAGATTCTGTTGTATGCGTAGAAAGAAGGCAGCATTTTCCAGATTAAAATTTTATAAGGCCTATTTCCCTAACACCTCAGCAACAAAGGGAGGTTAGGGAATGAAATCTTTATTCTGGAGAGCTTAATGTCTAAGAAAATGTCAAAGTTCTACCTATAATGATGGAGATAGAGACTGAATATTGTGTCCTTCAGTTTCTTCTACAGTAGTATTTATACCTGTTATTTTGATACTGTTTGTTAATAGTTATTTATGATACCAATCTTAATCACGAAAGTGTGATTACTTTCAGATAATCTTGGCACAATTTAATTCTGTCTCATATTTCAATTTAGTGATTTATGGCAGTAAGTAATTCTTTCCAATTTCTAATGGATCAGCTTCATATAGCTACTAGTTAATTTATTAAATTTCAAAAACATATTTATAGAATCAGTGCCAACTAAGTCACCTTATATATAGTTAAATCTGTTAGTATGGATTAGCAATAACCAACAAAACCTGAGAGAGGCTCTACCAAATTCACAGTGTTTTGTTTTGTTTTGCTTTTTATTCTTACTTAAGAAATGCAGTTGCGTAGGCAGTTGTGCATTAATCCTGCATCTCAGTGATGAGACCAACAACTAAGATACTGTAACATTCCTTTTCTGCTCTCTGTAGCCTATTTTAATTCTTGGGTTTATCTCCTCCTGATAGAAAGATAGCTCCAGTCATTAAAGGGCAGAGTCCTTCCTTTTTATGTCCCTGGACATAACTTTGTCCAAAGATACCCCTAGCTGCAGAGCAATGTAGAAAGGGATTTTTCTGTGGGTTTTGCAGAAGGGTAGACTTAGTAGTTGTAAAACACTAGTAGTGTCTGTTAAAGTTTCTGTTTAAGTTTTTAATATGTTGATTTATTAACTTTGAAAACTGTCTATAGATTTATTAAATTTAGGTTTGTTGTTGCAAACATACAACACTTGATTCAGGTTTGAGTTTCATTTTTATTGCCTGTGATGTTTCAGAAGAATGCTTTGCAAGCAATTTCTCCAGCCACCATGGAAGTTCTTATGCGGGTTTTGGCGGATTGTGATTCTTGGGAGGATGGAGAGCCTGAAGAAGTGGGTAGGAAGATAGAACTGACCCTGAAGTGCCTTACAGAAGTGGTGCATATCCTTCTCACAAGCAGCTCTGACCAGCGTCAAGTGGAAACTAGCACTATTTTGGAGAATTATTTTAAATTGTTAAATTCAGATCATTCAGCATTACCTAACCAAAGGAGATCCAGACAATGGGAAAGACGGTTCATAGCAGTACAGATCAAAATGCTGAGTAAGTATTGCATAAAGACATTTTGCTCTGGGTCAAATCTTTATTTTCATATTTTCTGCTTTTTTTTTTATTGTTGAAGTATTGGTCATTATGTGGAAAAGGTTGATTGAGTTAGATATAATGCGAGTGTTTATATTTTGACTTCCAGATAATTAATACAGAATTGATTTGTCTGTAACATCTTATCTGTAACAGTGACAAAATCACGTTCCTATATTGTTTTGAATATATAATTTGCTGAAACCATCAGTATTAAATACAAAGTTGACTATGATTTCAAAATTTTGCTGGTAGAATTTCTCAAAGTGCCATTTGTGGTTTTTGACTGGATGGAAGAACTATATACAGTCTATATACAGTCTCTATAACATCTCTGGCAAGGTCACTTCTGTTTCTTTCCTTACTCTAGAAGTCTCCTGATTTTGTTATTTTTCTTCAAGATCTCTGTACCTCTTTCCCTGTCTTTCTGCTAGTTGTTTTTCATTATTTTTCCTAGGTTTTTTTTTTAATGATATTCTCATGTTGGATGTTAAATACAAATGCTATTAACACAATGTAGTTCCTTACACTAAGTCTTATTTTCAAAATTAACATATGATAATTTGTTAATATATAGCTGAAACTATGTTGCCAGACGTAATAGGTTGCTGCTTATTAATATCAAGATGGACAGCACAATTAGTTAGACTCTGATGGTGGAAAAACAATTAAATGAATCTCTGGGAAATATATGTTACTTATATAGAAACATGAGGCAGTATAAAAGTAATAATTACAGGTATCCTACTTTGTCAGCTAAAAAACTAAAAATCTGTGTGAATGTTTGTATGATTTCAAATTTTCACTTTGACATAGGTGATTTTACTTTATTTTTTATTTATTTTAGATACCATTACTGCCATGTTAGATTGTACAGATAGACCTGTTCTTCAGGCCATTTTTCTTAACAGTAACTGCTTTGAACATCTCATACGATTGCTTCAGAACTGCAAGGTATTTTTCTGTTACTATTATTGTCTTTGATTTTAAGTAGCTATTATTATGGTTATATTTTGATTCAAATTGGGCATGTAATAACTTTATGGTTATATAACCAGGTTTTGTCTTGAAATTATTATTGTATCATTTTTAACTACTAAATATTTTCTTTTTAAGATTTATTTATTTATTTGAAATTCAGAGTTAAACAGAGAGCAGAGGGGAGAAAGATAGTTCTTCCATCTACTGGTTCATTATCCAGATGTCTACGACACCCAGGTGGAGGCCAGGAGCCTGGAGCTTCTTCTGGTCTTGTATGTGGGTAGCAGGGGCCTAGGGATCTGCGCCAATTTAGTGTTTTTCTCACGCCATTAGCACTGATTGGAAGCACAGCAGGCAGAACTTGAACTGGCACCTGTACAGGATGTAGGCGTTAACAGACAATGGCTTCACCAGCTTTATTATAGTGGCATAGCCATCTAGATACTTTATTTTTTTTAAGTTTTATTTATTTTTATTGCAAAATCAGATATACAGCAGGAGAGAAAGAGAGGGAGATCTTTCTTCCTCTGGCTCACTCCCCAAGTGGCCACAACAGCTAGAGCTGAGCTGACCTGAAGCCAGGACCCAAGGAGCTTTTCCCAGGTCTCCCATGTGGGTGCAGGGTCCCAAAGCTTTGGGCCATCCTCAACTGCTTTCCCATTTGGGGTGTGATCTGTGGACAGAAGATCTCTGAAATGCAAAGATTATGCATTTGAGTTTGTACAATATACAAGAGAATTTTTAAATTTTTGGAAAGAGTCAAGTTAAAATTTGAGATTATTGGGCCAGGTATGATGGCTCAATAGTTAAATCTCTGCCTTGCTCATGCTGGCATCCCATGTGTGTGATAGTTTGTGTGCATCCAGCTTTCTGCTTACTCCCTGGGAAAGCAGTATAGGATAATCCAAGGCCTCGGGACCTTGCACCCACATTAATAAGATCCAGAAGAGGTTCATGGCTTCTGGCTTCAGATTGCTTAGCTCTGACAATTGTGGCCACTTGGGGAGTGACCAGTAGATGGAAGATCTTTTTCTCTGTCTCTCCTTGTCTCCATAAATCTAATCTGTCTTTCCAATAAAAATAAAGCTTTTAAAAAAAATTTTTGAGATTATTCTGTGTAATAAAAAATAAAAATTAGAAATCACTGCAGTTTTTCCATAATATACTTAGTCCATTTTAAAACCTCTTTATATATTATTATTTTGTTTTCTTCCATTTTTTTAAGGATTTATTTATTTTTATTGGAAAGTCAGACATACAGAGAGGATGAGAGACAGAGAGGAAGATTTTCTGTCCGATGGTTCACTTCCTAAGCGGCCGTAATGGCTAGAGCTGAGACAATCCAAAGCCAGGAGCTTCCTCCATGTCTCCTACATGGGTACATGGTCCCAAGGCTTTGGGCCATCTCGACTGCAATTCCCAGGCCACAGGCAGAGAGCTGGATAGGAAGCCGGACTGCTGGTATTAGAACCAATACCTATATGGGATCCTGGCGCATTCAAGGCAAGGACTTGAACTGCTGGGCCCCCTCCATTTTTATTAAAAATTTGTTTTATTTATTTGAAAGGTAGCGTTACAGAGAGAGGGTTCTTCCATTTGCTGATATATTCCCCAAATGCCCATGATGGCCAGAACTATGTGTGGTCGTAAGTCAGTAGCCAAGAGCTTCTTGCAGATTTCACACATCAAGAGGCCTGATGCCTTGAGCCATCTCTTCTAATACTTTTCCAGGTGGATTAGCAGGGAACTAGATTGGAATTAGAGTAAGTAGGACTTGAATTGGTACCCGTATGGGCTACTAATGTTGTAGATGGGGATTTTATCAGCTGTGCCATAGTGATGGCCTCTATATATTAACCTTACAATGAGCAATTTCTAGATTAGGCAGGAAGTGGCTGAGCTAAAATATCAGTGCAGCTCTTTTTTTGACATTTACAACTTTGTTCTTAACTTCTATACCCTGTATTTTCTAAAACAATAATTTTGTATATTTCCAGATATCTTCCCAAACAAAATTAATTTAACATAATTCCGGTTTCATAGATAATTTGATACACTGTCAATGTCAAATAACATTTGTTATAGTTATTCAAATAATATGTGGCTACAGTAACATAGAAACATTGAAAACATGGCAGTTTTTCCTATAGATTAATAAATATATTAATTCTAAAATTTTTGCCTCTAAGTAATTCCTCATATACATTATGTAGTTCCTTACATACAAAATATGCTTTCATTAATGAAAAACTAAGAACCAAGATCAAGCTAAGTTATATCAGTAGAGGACATTAATAACTTTATTTCTCATATCTTTAAACCATTTAGTAATAATTATACAGGCAAAATTTTAAGTAGCTGTCTACTTGATTCTTTTCCACTGTCAGCAATACCTGCTTGAGTGTTTGGAGGCTAAGCAAGTTAGTGCAGACTCTAGAAACTTACTGTTTGTAAGTGGATTTTGAACAATATAAGATTGTATTTTTCAGTATAACAGTGTTTTAACAGGAAATGAGAGCTACTGAACAGATTACATAGAGAACTGCATGTGATAGATGTTAAGGAGCAAAATCACAAGAGAGAAAATGTGACTAATTTTCAAAAGTGGAGCACTTCACATTTTGGTTTTGATTTAAGAAAAATTGCATGTGTAAATAAAATTGGGAAAAGAAAGCATTTGGTTAGCAAAACATTAACACATGTATGAAAGAGCACAAGGCCTTGGGAGCCTACATTACGATATAGCTCCACACTAATGTGCCTGAGAAAGCAGGGGAAGATGGCCCATCATCTTGACCCCTACCCTACTAGGGAGACCAAGAAGAAGCTCATTGCTCCTGGCTTTGGCCTGGCCCAGTTGTGGTCATTGTGGCCGTTCAGGGTGTAAACCAGTGGATGGAAGTTTTCTTTCTCTCTTCCTCTATAACTCTGCCTTTCAAATAGAATAAATCTTTAGAAAAATGTTTAAATTCTTTCTCCCTTTTTTCTCTACTTGTTGAAATAAACATTTTCTGTTCTTAAAAAATGAACAACAACAAAAAGATTGTAGGGAGGTTTTACATTCGATATCCTTTTAAAATTAATTTTTCTCCTGCTTACTTGAAAGGCAAAGTGACAGAGAAAGAGAGACCTTCCACCTGCTGGTTCTCTCCTGACATGCCCAACACAGCTAGTACTATACCAGGCCAAAGCCAGGAGATTGGACTCCTTTTGGGTCTCCCATAGGGGAGGCAAATGCCTAAGCACTTGAAATATTATCTGCTGTCGCCCAGGAGATTTACTGTTAATCATTCACTTCTTGAAACATTGAAGCTACCCACACATTTACTTTTTCTGTGCAACACTGTCTATTTATTAGATTGTTTGGAGTATTCCCTTTTTTAGAACGCAGACTTTGTGTTTGGTCATAGATTGTTTTGTTTGTTTTTGCTTACCCTTAGGAGTTGTCAACTACTTCACAGCTTTAAATATCATCTGTATTCCTCCTTGTTTTCCCCATTAAGTCCATCTGTTGAAGAATTCCACTTCATTCAGTCTTAGAAATCTCTAATGTATGCATTAAAAATGGAATGCCTTAGTCTGACTTCGTCCTCCTTCTGCATCTTCCTCTTGTCACTTCTCTTGTATTTCCAGTGTAAGACCAAAGCACCAATAGCTTCTCAGTTTCTCAAGAGAAAAACTTGCAAGTCATCCTAAATCTTCGCTACTTTCTTTTTCCAGGTCTGTTTGTCTTGCCAAGTTCTGATGATTTTACTTTTTAAATGCCTCTCATGTGTGTTTGCTTTTTTTTTTTCAGTCTTCTTTCCATGTCATTGCAGTGTCTTTCCAGTTGTTCTGTTCTCTCTTCAATCTTACTCTTTCACACTGAAGCCAAAGACATTTTTACCCGCTGATACCATGATGGTAGTCTCTTGCTTCAAATGTCTTGTGTATCATTTAAGCACTTGAGCAGTCTTTAAATCTCTCTGCCATGAGTTGAACAAAAGCTCTAAGAAATGGCCCAGAAATCTTAGAGCTTTTCTTTACATAAACCCTTCATGGTCCCTTGAGGTAATCCTGCTTATTCTTGTTCATTTGTCTCCTTGATATTCGTTTTTTTTTTTAACTACATCTTTTTTGTTATTATTATTGTATTTTTTACAATCTTTACATAGTTAATTGGGGTAAAAAGGTTCAAGGGCTATAGGAAAGTGGGTAAGAGTATAATTTCTATATTGTTTCCTTCATGTTTAAAGAGGGGTATTAAGGGAGAAATCCCACCCAATTTCCCACCCTCCCCAGGTCCCAGATGTAGGGTATGCTCTGAGGTTCTTGCTCAGGTGGTTTTGATAGTTCACCAGTTACAAATTGCTGCCAGTCTTGCCACTCCAAGCACTATGAGGTCTTTGAAGAATTCGCTGGTTGACATAGTCCATCATAGAGTCTCCATTTGCCCCGTATTTCACTGCCAACATATAGCTGAGATGCTTGATTGACCTGTTCTGTCTTTTCTTGGTTAGGGTTCTGAGTCCAGCATTTCGATTGGGGAAATCTCCAAAGAAACTTTGAGGTGTTCTCGTACCAGATTCTTGTATGTACTAGCAGGTGCAGGGCCTGGCACAGTCCATCGCCCTGATCAGCTGGTGGTTGCAGTTGCTGGGTTGGTTCTGATTTCAGCCCCGACTTCCACTGGAAACAATGGGTGTTGCAGTCCAGCCTGGTTCTGCCCAACACATTCTTGGCCCTCTCATAAACCAGTGGGAGCTGCAGCCTAGTTGGAGCGACCCGCAATGACCCCCACCAGGCCCGCCCCCTACCCTGGTGTCCAGTATGTATTGCAGTAATCCAGTCTGTCCCAATCCCCTTTCCACCCCAGCTCCTGACCTGGTTCCACACCACCCCCCCCCCTTGGAAGTGGTAACCCAAGAGAGACGAACCCACTGTTTCACTCACAGACCACTCCCACTCCCAGATTATGCACTCTCCAGGTGGTT